GCCACAATCAGACTTGCTTGCAAATCTTCCGCCATAACAATTCCGCCCCCTTGATAATTGACCAATCACATTCACTTTATTCACTCGTTTAAAGTCGGGCATCACTCGGGAGAATTCGGAAATGCAGCGATTGGAACAGTTGCATGTTCACTGGATTCTGAGCGGAGCTTCGTGGCGCTATGGTGGAATGAGCGAACATCCTCCTGAGCAGCGAGCGCGAGGCGTTCGGCTCTGTTCACATGCTCTGCTTTTAATTAGGAGGTAGTTTCTCATAATAATAAGATCCTGCCTTAAAATTATTTGATGACTTAGCAATCAAAATATAACAAAAAACTGTCATTATTTCCTCTAAATTGTATTCCAATTTCTTTATAATTTTTATTTTAATAAAATATCAATAATTTTATCTATTTTTTTAAAATAAAGCGTCACTTTTTATTTTCTTTAACTTATTGTGTTGCCTTTAAGCCCTTGCAAAGTACTTTTGTTTTCTTTTCTCCCATTGAGCATGTGCTACTGAAACACGTAATAGAAATACGTTTCCTTTGCCTTTAACTTGTTTTTGTCTGTTTTTATTTTCGTAAATCACACTTTTGTAAAAAAAAAAAAAAAAAGGGGGGCCTTTTAAAAAAGTTGTGCCTAGGGCCCTAAAATGTCTAAGTTCACCACTGACCAGAGAATCAAACTAATGAGAACAAGATTTAGAGATTTTAAGCTTATTAATAATTAGAAAATGCAACATTTAAGCTTTTTTTGGAGAGTTGGAGTCTTTCTAATTCTAATGCAGACCCAGCTGTGTATCCAAATACATGCAAAAAAAAAGTACAGTAGTAACCAGTCTAAAAGTTGTATTCAATGATTTTCTAAAGTTAAACTTAAAGCAAAGCAAGTTGGCTTCAGACATCAGCAGCCATGTTTAGATGTTCTGGTAGCTGCCTGACCTTTTATTGTTCTGGAACAGATAACAGATGGATCTAAAGCCGGGTTTGTTCTTAAAGCTGCAACAGTGCTTCTGCGACATCTGCTGGCCAAATATATCAGATGCTGCTAAATGCTGTTAGCCTGCTGCAGCAGATTGGAATGGATGAGGAGTCCAAACATGCAAGCAAAGCTGAACAGAAGGCATCCTAAGGCAGATCCACTCTGCAGAGGGATGCTGTTCGTGTGATCTGAAGTCAAGGCAATGAGCCAAAGCAGACCAGCTGGCTCTGTGATGGTCTCTCAGCAGCCAAACAAAAGGCTGAGTACCTCATTAGATTGATCGTTTAAAAGGACATAAAAGATGCCCAAAGATTTAAACTTATTGATGGCTGCTCATTTTGTTTTAAATGACGCATTTTTGTCTCGGCCTAAAAATAGGCTGATAGTTAAGGATCATTTTTACAGGTCTTCCTTTAAATGAATCCATTTATAGTGCATTTCTCTTCTGCTTTCCTGAGTCATCACTTTTTGCTGCAGTTCCAGATCCAGAATTACTAGATTTCCTCATGGAAAGGCTGACATGTACGGTCACACAGGTTCAGTTTAAAGCTCGGGATATCGCTCTAAAATAGTATCAAAGCTACTAGAATAATACATTTATTTTAGTTATCTGCTGAATAATAATTAAACAGAAAAAATAAAACTTTGTTCAGTTTAAATCTAGGTCACATGGGTTGCATCCGTTTAAAAAAAAAAACTCTGATCTGATTTTTTCCCACGTCACTGACTGCAGTGCGTATAGAAAGATTGCTGCGATGCAGGAGGAGCAGATCCCGATCTGTGCAGATGTTTTTCACTTCTGTCTCTAAGCCCAAAAAAATAAACAATTTCCCACATTTGACAGGGAAATATTATGAGAAGTTATTGAAAAAATGGAGGAGCTACAAAGCAAAGCCCAAATTAATGACTCAACCAGAGTCTGAAAGGGGATTTGCAGCAACCAGAACTGAAAGGGAATTTTTACCAGCCACTATGCCGTGTT